GAGACAGAGACAGAGACAGAGACAGAGACAGAGACTGACTGACTTTCGGCACACAATGACAAAAAGGTTAGCCATCACTACTATAGGTCTTTCTAACTAAGTAACCAACTAATTCTTTCTTTTTCTTTCTTTTTCTTTCTTTTTCTTTCTTTTTCTTTCTTTCTCTTTCTTTCTTTCTCCTTCCTTCCTTCCTTCCTTCCTCCCTACCTACCCCGTCCTTCCCTCCCTTCCCAATACTACCCATCTGTAAATTCATGACACTTACACAATACAATACAATAAAGTAAAATACAATACAATAGCAGAGTTGGAAGGGACCTTGGAGGTCTTCTAGTCCAACCCCCTGCCTAGGCAGGAAACCCTATACCGTTCCAGACAAAGGGCTATCCAACATCTTCTTAAAGACTTCCAGTGTTGTAAGCATTCACAACTTCTGGAGGCAACTTCTGTTCCACTGATTAATTGTTCTAACTGTCAGGAAATTTCCCCTTAGTTCTAAGTTGCTTCTCTCCTTGATTCTTGTCCTGCTCTCAGGTGCCTTGGAGAATAGCTTGACTCCCTCTTCTTTGGGGCAACCCCTGAGATATTGGAACTCTGCTTTCATGTCTCCCTTAGTCCTTCTTGTGGTGGCCTCTTTACCAATATGTTTGTTCAGATCAGTATCTAAAGAGACTGTCGGCGATAGTTGAGCCGAGGTATCCGAAGTCATGGGTGACCTCCAGTTCTTATGCAGAGATTGTAATACAGGGAGGTGATAAAATCAAAATATTAAAGTTATGCAAATTGAAAATAAAATTGGGACCAAAAGGCAGACCGCATGGGGATGAGGTCTTCTTATACTGCTCTACAAACTTGTGACAATTTCACAACAGATTTTAGATGTTTTCGGTTTAGTATGTTTTGCCCATCTCAAATGTCTAAGCCAGTCTGATGCTTTTATTTTTCACTCCCCCCTCTCCCTCTCTCTGTAGGTAAAGAAGATGTGAAGCAAATCCCATGTCCTCAGACACCGAAGAATGCTTGGCGAGCACCGTCTTCTCCAGCCATCTGTTGAGCCAAGAGATGTTCATTGTGGCTATCCGTTCATTTCATATAGGATGGATGGCTTTGTTGCCTTCTAGGGAATGAAAACGAGCTGGACCAGATCTTCAGAGATGGCCGCATGACCTACATATTTATCTTTTATCAAGAGGTGACGCTCCCCCAAAGAAGGCCGGCTTTTCACAGCTTGCAAACAGGTATTTAAACCTTCTACTCTGTCTCTCTCTTGCTCATTAGAGGCTGGTGGCTCAGCCGTGGACTAACTTGAGAGTCCATCTCTAAACTGTGAGTTCCTGTTCTGGGTGATTTCGGGACTACAATGGAAGAGAATGTATTCAGTGTCCAACAGATTCAGCCGAATGTAATCTCAGTGAGGCTCTTCAAGCGGAAAGTGGGCGGCCTTGGGTTCCTGGTGAAGGAACGCGTCAACAAGCCACCCGTGATCATCTCTGACTTGATCCGAGGAGGGGCAGCAGAACAAAGTGGCCTTATTCAGACGGGTGATATTATCCTCGCGGTCAATGGGAAGCCCCTGGTTGATATGAACTATGACGCAGCCTTAGAAATCCTTAGAAGCATCGCTTCGGAAACTTACGTTGTTCTCATCTTAAGAGGCCCAGAGGGTTTCACCACTCACCTAGAGACAACCTTTGCTGGAGACGGGACGCCAAAGACCATTCGAGTCACCAGACCTCTGTGTGGGACGCCAACAGTAGGTGATCAGGCCTCTGCTCCCAGCATCCGCACCAAAGACAAACCGCAGGGGGAAGAACAGAGCATGGGGGGCTCCGTCAGCTCCCGGTGTGCCCGGGAGAATGGGCAAGGGGGAGAAAACCTGGTGCACATCAACGGCATGGTAGCCAGCAACGTGGCCAAGGACACCATGAAAGGAAACCAAGATATTCCTGACCATTGCCTGAATGGCAGCCTGGAGAACAGTGAACTGCTCAAGGAGATTGAACCCGTTCTGGATCTTCTGAAGGGCGACAGCAAGGAACTCAATGGCAACGCTGAAGCCAAGATGGCCATGAAAGATGTTGAAGTCCAGGTGGACAGGTAGGATGCGAAAATCATTTTACACTATGGGTAGTGCTTGCCTTACGACCACAGTTGGGCCCAAAATTTCCATTGATAAGCAAGGTAGTTGTTAAGTGAGTTTTGTCCAGTTTTCTTTTCTTGCCACAGTTAAGTGACTCACAGCAGTTGTTTAGTTTAGCTTAGTTTAGTTTAGTTTAGTTTCATTGGGTTGAGTTGGGTTGGGTTGGGTTGAGTTGAGTCATTAAGCAAATCTGGCTTCCCCCATTGACTTTGCTTGTCAGAAATGGCTTGGATGATTGACAAAAGGTGGTCACATGACCCTGGAACAGTGCCACTGTAATAAATGCCAGTTGCCAAATGTCCAAATGTTGATCATGCAACCATATGGATGCGACAACAGCCGTAAATGGGGGGGGGGGGAAGCATGTTCCTAAGTCTATTTTTTCAATGGTCACTAAATGAATGGTTGTAACTCAAGGACTACATGTATTTATATCATCTCCAAATCATTTGGGATTGTACCTCCCTGTATGCCTAATCACCTCTCTCCCCTGAGCGAGTACAGTCTTAGCAACAGCCAGGAAGGAGTAAGATCTCCGTATGTGAATGTTGATTTTAGAATCTATTTTGCATTGGCCATGAAGGAATGGCTGGATTTTCTGGTGGGAATTTAGCAATTGTGCTAGAATCAGAGGGAAATGGGGCAGGGGAGAGAGTGAGAAATAAATGTACCCCACTGCCTGCCTTCCATTGAGGACCTATATACTGCTCAGAAAGAGGGCTGAGAAAGTAAGCCCCTCACATCAGGGATATAAACTGTTTCAAATCCTCTCCTCAGGATGCCACTATAGGGCATTGCATGCCAAAATAACTAAGACACAAAGGCAGTTTCTACCCCCAGGCCATCACTCTGGTGAACACCTAATTCCCACAATGTGATGGATGACACACCCTGGGGGGAGGGGGGAAACAGGGTCATGATTGGCGCTGTAAATTACGTGGGGTCAGATCAATCATGAGCCTCAAGCCAAGTTTCAAAAGAAATCCAGTTATTTATTAGGAGCTTCATGTCGGCATGTTCCCAAGTGAAGCCAGCTCTGACCCCACGTAATTTACGACCCCAATCATGATCCTGTTTCCCCCCCTCCACCCAGGGTGTGTCATCAATCACATTGCCAGTGGGGCAATTTCCCAGGTTGTAGAATTCACTCCCTTCCAGCCTGTAAGTAATCCTAGGATACGGCCTTGAGAGAGATAAGTCTGGAATGTTCATCTGCTTTTTGCTGTGGTGCCATTTCATTGATTTTTCATATCCCCCCCCCCCCCAGCCTTTTCCTTTGGCAATTCAAGAGCAGACCAGGGATGCTTTGCGAGTTGACAACTGTCTTATGTCTATGGATATTCACCTATGGAATAGAGCTGTTTTGCTATTATCCTTCTCATCTTTCCTATTATCTTCTCTTATTGGCATCCTTATTGTGATTATATTACCTTGTTGTTTGTATGTACACTGAGAGCTTATGCGCTGGAGACAAATTCCTTATGTGTCCAATGATACTTGGCCAATAAAGAAACTCTTCTCTTCCCTTCCCTTCTCCTCTCCCCTCGCCTCCTCTCCTCCCCTGCTTTTTCCCTGAAAGAAGAGGACTTATTTTCATGAAAGTTGGTCTCCATTTCAAATTGCTTTCCCTCTTAGTAGCAATAGTGTCCCTCAGTCCCCTTCTCTCGCCTGCTCTCTTATACACAGAGCTGAAAAGATACCTCAACCCTTCATCTGGGTGCTTTAAATTCACAGAATATTTCCCCAATGCCTATTAACACAGCCCTGTCCTGACTAATCAGCAGGAGCCTTAATTGGGTTTTTAAAAAAAACAAAGATCTTGAATAATGGAGCAGAGGCGAGAGTGACAAGCATAACACGAGGATGGATTATATTTTTAATGGATGCTCATTTCAAACTTTTTAGCGTTGGCTTGCTTGAAATGGACAGTTCCTGAACTGGGGGGGAAAAACAGCGCTAAATGAATGAATTAAATGGCTCCCACCGCACCAGATCGTGAGCCATGCCTAATTGATGATCTAATGTATGAAAATGCATTTTAGGTAGAGAAAAACAAGCCATTTTCAGAATATGCCCATTATCTAGCTTCATCTTTCTTGACCCGAGTCCCCTTAGAACAGGGGTGGGCCATTAATTTTCCCAAGGGGCTACATGGGAAGCTGGAATAGTTGGGAAGGGCCGAAAGCAATAAACTTAATTCTTCTCAATATTAGTTTTAGTACTTTATGAAAAGAAGTAAATTATACGGTTTGGAAAACAGGTGAGCTAGATTTTAGGAAGAGGGGGGGTTTAATGGCAACCCTCTTGCTGTGGTGTTGAGCAAAAAAAATTGTGTAAAGCAGTAGGACACATACAGAGAAAGAAAGAACAGTTCAGAGATGTATTCCTTTTCATGATGAGAGGAAGGGCCAGAGGTTTATTTATCATTCATGTATTTATACATTTATTTTTTATGTATTTATCAATTTATATGCCACCCATCTCCCTAATGGCAACTCCAGGCATCTTACAAATTATAAAAAAAGATAAATAGAAAACTATTAAAATTTAAAACTAGGCTGCTAGAGAATCCTGCAGGATTTAAACTGGTGCATCTCAAACCTTTTCCTATAAAAAAGTTCTTTTATTCTGATGAAAGTAAAACTTTTTAAAGCCTATTTAAATGTCCTTGTTGTGATTGGGTCAGGGGTTCATGTGTTGTGCCCTAAACCACTTTTACCCAATGCTGGTTTGTTTTCCCAGGTCAGATTACAGATTAAAAGAGTTGGAAGGGACCTTGTAGGTCATCTAGTCCAACCCTACACCATTTCTGACAGATGGCAGTCCAGTCTCTTCTTGAAAGCTTCTAGTGATGAAGCTCCCACAACTTCCGAAGGCAATTTCTGTTCCATGGGTTGATGGTTCTCACTGTCAGAAAATTCCTCCTTATTTCTAGGTTGAATCTCTCCTTGCTCAGTTTCCATCCATTCTTCCTTGTCTGGCCTTCAGGTGCTTTGGAAAGTAGCTTGACCCCCTCCTCTCTGTGGCAGCCCCTCAAATATTGTAAGACAGCTTTCCTGTCTCCCCTGGTCCTTCTCTTCACTAGACTAGCCACACCCTACAACTCCTCATCGTATCTTTCATCCTCCAGTCCCCTAATAAGAGGTGGTATTCTGCTAGTTTGTACCGTTTTGGGCGAACTGGTAGTGGCGGCAATACGAGACTCCCCCCATCCACCCAGACATCATCACAACCTTCTGTGCATGCGGGCACACTCCCGCTACCGAAGCAGTAGTGAAGAAAATAGGATACCATTACTGCCCCTAATCATCCTGGTTGCTCTTCTCCACGCTCTTTCTAGAGTCTCCACATCTTTTTTATAGCATGGTGACCAAAACTGGATGCAGGCTTCTAGGTGTGGCCTTACTAAGGCTTTATGGAGGGGTATTAGAACCTCCCTTGATCTTGATTGCATTGGCTTTTTTTGCTACCACTGCAGGTCTGGGAAATTCTGATTTAAACAACTTGGCAAAGTATTTCCAGCTTCTTTTGTCTTGATAAAAATAGAGCTGGGTACAAGCTGAGCCGGTCAGTTTACAGTCACCTGGGGGGCAATTCTCTTTCCTCCTTGTTTAAGCAGGAAAGTTAAGAATATAACAGGAAGCCTTCCCTTAGTGAACTTTCTCCAATGAGTAATTATAGTTTGCAAACGACAGCCGAGGAAGGGAAACCTGTGCCGAACAATAGGCATATCATACGTGATTTTGAAGCACACACACACACACACACGCACACACACACGCACACACACACACACACATAAGGGACGTAGTGGGTCAGTGGATAAGACCCTGAGCTTGTCGATCAGAAAGGTCGGCAGTTTGGCGGTTCGAATCCCTAGCACCGCATAACGGAGTGAGCTCCCGTTACTTGTCTCAGCTTCTGCCAACCTAGCAGTTCAAAAGCAGGTTAAAAATGCAAGTAGAAAAACAGGGACCACCTTTGGTGGGAAGGGAACAGCGGTCCGTGCTCCTTCGGTGTTTAGTCATGCTGGCCACATGACCACGGAGACGTCTTCGGACAGCGCTGGCTCTTCGGCTTTGAAACGGAGATGAGCACCGCCCCCTAGAATCAGGAACGACTGGCGAAGGGAAACTTTACTGTTATAGAACTAGTCCTTGACTTGCAACCACAGTTGAGACCAAAATTTATGTGGCTGATCGAGGCATCTGTCCAGTGAATTTCGCCCCATTTTGCAACCTTCCTTGCCACAGTTGTTAAAGTGAATCACTGCCGCTGTGAAGTTAGCAACAGGTTTGTTAAGTGAATCTGGCTTTCCCATTGACTTTGCTGGTCAGAAAGTCGCAAAAGGTGAACCCAAGGACACGGCAACCATCATAAATGTGAGTCAGTTGCCAAGCGTCTGAATTTTTATGACATGACTGCAATGGTCATAAAGGTGAAAACTTGTCATGGGTCACTTTTTTCAGTTGCCATTGGAACTTCAACTAGTCAGTAAGCTAATGGCTGAAAGTTGAGTTTCGGTCGCCATGATGTAAAATAGATGTGGAGACTCTAGAAAGAGTGCAGAGAAGAGCAACAAAGATGATGAGGGGAATGGAGGCTAAAACATATAAAGGGCGGTTGCAGGAACTGGGTATGTCTAGTTTGATCAAAAGAAGGACTAGGGGAGACATGATAGCAGTCTTCCAATATCTCAGGGGCTGCCACAAAGAAGAGGGAGTCAAGCTATTCTCCAAAGCACCTGAGGGTAGAACAAGAAGCAATGGGGGGAAACTAATCAAGGAAAGAAGCAACGTAGAACTGAGGAGAAATTTCACTAGAACAATCAATCAGTAGAACAACTTGCCTCTAGATTAAAAATTGTGGGCGCCCCAACACTGGAGGTATTTAAGAAGAGATTGGGCAACCACTTGTATGAAATAGTTCAGGGTCTCCTGCTTGAGCAGGGGGTTGG